GCTCGTGGATCATTCATCTATTGATTTATTCTCTTCCTTAGCTGATAGATGGGGTCGGGGTTGTTGGGAATTGATTTAAACATGCACAGCGGAATTTAACAGATTTCAATTCCCATTCAGGATTCAGCTTTGTATTTAGATAAAAACTGTGATGAGAAATATACCTTTTGTGTGATTTGCAAACTCTTTCGCGTTATTCCTTTCCAGCAGCTTGAATCTGCCTCCCACAGCTGTGTCTAATGATCGACCCATGCACTTAGTCTCAAAGTGTTATGTGTCTGGGTAGCTTTGAACGATAAGGTTCTCATTTGAAATTCTGAACAAACTTGTTGACATGACGTCTAGTTAAAAAGTGGTTGGTTATGGATTACTCAACCTTGATTTCCCATGACTAAAGAGATCGGAGGGCAAATAGTATGCCGTTAATTTAGGTGCACTATGTCCTTCCACTAAATGGTCGCATGAATACTTATGATAAGGTTATTTTTGTCGATTCTTTGTATTATTTATCTATTTACAAAATAAATAAAAGCAAGAAAAAGATATAAAAAGAAAACCTCATTGCTTCATCTTCTCAAACACCCAACATCAGCCTATGCACCAAGCGGATTGCCCCTCGCAACGTGCAACCCCACTATTCCTTCCACTACTGGTCCGGCCTATTGGCTCTCACCCCGTATTTGGTGGATCTTGAACTTATGCGATATCAACTTCTTTTTTTTTTTTTTTTTAAATCAAATATGCATATTTGAGATGACTTATTTTGAATATAAATGAATCCATTTTATTTTTAAAATAAGTCACTCCAAATATACTATCGATATCTGTGTGTACGGAGGTAGAAGATGAAGCGAGAAAAAATATGGGCTCTGTTTGGCAGGGATTTTTTGACCGTTATTTTACTATTCAAGCCGTAATTTTTGACTTCTTCTCTCACATGTGGACCCCACTTTTCTTCTAACAGTCAAAAAATCAATTCTCAAAATCCCTACTAAACGGGCCCATAATCTATTTCACAAAAGTCCTATGCTTCTTGCCAACATTAGTATCCCGAAAAATAGAATAATATTATTTACAGTCTCTCATTATCGTAATTGTCTTACGTGACATATATGTGACGGTTAATAATTTATTGCATAACGTAATAAAAAAAATAATATTATTTGCAATCACTCATTATCGCAATCACCTTATGTTGCATATATGTGACGATTAGTAATTTGATATATGAGGTAATAAAAAAATTATCACGTTAATATCAAATTACAAATCGTCATATAGGATGTCATCGAGGGCGATTACCGCAATAAGCGACTATGAATAATATTACTCAATAAAAAATTATCACGTATCAAATCACCAACCGTCACATGTATATTATATATGATGACTACGGCAGGGAATGACCGTAATAACATTACTCCGAAAAGAAAGATCGTGTTTGGTCTTAATTTTAAAATTTACCTTTCTAAACTCATTTTTATTTATATATTTTTTAATATTTCATTCATCGTTTTTTTTAATGATTTCATCCATACCAAACGGGATAGGTATTCTCGAAATGAACTGCCGAGCCAACCGGTCTGATATTTTATACTT